GGCATGAAAGCCTCTGAACTAGACTAGTCAGCATACCACAAATTGACATTGTGTGCCGCTTTCCCTACAGCGTCATATTGGGGTCTGGGCGGAGACAACATTGACTCTGCAATACACTAGAATAAAGAGCGATATCCACGCCAGTTGAGACCGTCTGTCCAATATGCACTGCATTCAGCTAGAAAGTAAAATTAATATCGCACACACGACAAGTGCCTACATACGTAAACCGGACGCAAATACAAAGCATTGGTTCGCAGCTCCCCGAAACAAGTGTTTACCATTCCCTCAGAATGCTAGAGCTGAGTGGCCCACTGGTTCACGTATACCTAAAACAAAGTGACTCAATCAACCACTACACGCTCTACCAATGGTGCTAGTAATTGAGCCGCGAAGAGCGGTGGCAACTGCACTTGACAGGGCGTACCTTTGCTTGGAGACTCAATTTTCGAGTAAAACGCTCCAAGAGTCTGAGTACAACATTTAAGATCGGTGATCATGAAGCCCTGCTATCAGTAATTCGCATCAGAACAGCCATGAAAGATACATATATGCAGATCAAAGTAAGATCGGGGCTTTGGTACGCAGCTTATAAAAAAAACCTTAAACTCCAGTACTATGCTAACTTCGATCGCAGTTCAGCCGCGCAGTCATGCGTCAGTATCTGGTCACATGACTGGTGCTTTTAAGAGAAAATGAAAAACTTTAAGGTGAAGTTGATTAATGGTTTGATATATAGCCTGTCTCATGCGGACAAAATAGATATCTGATAGACATTGGAAGCTCTATGAATAGAGGTTCCAAAGATTTTAAATAGATGTAAATTGCTACTAGGGATGGCTACAAACTCGGTGTAGAGTTAAATATACTAACCTCGTATTCATGTTTACCGAGACAGATTTGTTGAAAGGAATTGGGAATATCCGCAAAAATGGGAACTTTCACCTTAACCTGAATCTGCACATCATTAACGAGTGCAGGGCCCCAACAAACGTCTCTACCTAAACTATAAGATCCCATGGGTCAAAATGACAACTATATCGAATTGCCCGGGTTATAAATGCTAGCTTACAGACCAATTAACTATGAGTCTCTATGCGATCAAATTTAGCGAATGACTAAAATGGCCAGGCAAGCCCCAGCTAAAACTGGTGTTTGCCATTCTCAAGGGAAAGATAATCTGCTTTTATTGCCTTTTAGCGGCGCCGATGTACTTATGATTCGAAGCATCTGGCAGATATTATTGCTCCACTTGTTCTGGATATTTTTCAAACGTCCATCAGTACGAGCACTCTTCCTCAAGATTGGAAGATTGGAGTCGTGAAGCCGTTTTATAAATCCGGTGATAAATGGCTTCCCTCTGATTACAGGCCAGTAACCCTCACCTCGGTTTTAGTGAAGGTTCTTGAAACCTTCATGAAACAAGCGATTGACAATTTCCTGGATCAAACCAACGGTTGGATTCAAGAGCAACACGGTTTTAAGTGCGGAAAATCTTGTGCAAAAAACCTGTAATTAGCCCATGAGTCTTGGGCCGAATCGAACGATAGGGGTTACCGGACGCACGTGGTATTTATCGACTTCAGTAAAGCGTTTGACCTAGTTTCTCACCAG